CTTCGACCGCGTTGCCGCTTTTGCTTCAAGCCTTTTCAAGGGACCGGGTTAGAGGGTTCGATCCCTCTTTCGCTTTTTTAAAGCCCACCCGCCCACCCTGTCAGCGCTCAGGTGAACCACCTTGGCGCACAAGGCAGGCGGCCTCATTGGGCTTTCGTTGCATCCGGCCAATGAGAGGACGCTTTCCTCCAGCATGTCCCTTCGGACTCAGTCCAACAGAGAGGACGCGTTCCTCGGCTTTTTACACAAGAGCACGTTGAAGCACGCGTTGCTTCCGGCATGTCACAATGCCTCCAGTCATGTTTCACACCCCTGGGCCTGTGAACAGGCTTAACACGCGTTGTTAAACACGCTTTGTTTGCCATGACGGTATTCGCAGGCTCCGCATGGGGTGCAGCTGCGGGGTTGGACGCGCGTTGTCAACCGAGACGTTTCAGTTCGTTGACCGTTTTTGGGCTACATGTTCTCCCTGTTGGCTTGAAGCAGTGAACAGAATTCTAACATTTTATCAGAAAGCCCACGGCGTTTGGCTCCAGCTAGCAACCTCCCAGCAGTAACACTTGTACGACGAGTAGTTCTACCATTGGGTATTGGGGCCTGGTGTTTGCGCTGCTTTGCAAGGGGGTACTTGGCTTTTCGACACGGTGTTCCTGGGCTGCCGGCTGGCTTGTACGCTTGGGGTTTTGTGTTCCCCCGTGTTTTAATCCTGTTCGAATCTTCAGCCGCGTGGCCGCTTTTGCTTCAGCCTTTTTTGAGGGACCGGTTTAGAGGGTTCGATCTCTTTTCCGTTTTTTTTAAAGAACTTGTTCAACTATTTTCTCCTTCACACCATCCATTTTTTATCAACCCCAACCCCAAACCTGGTCACCAGCTTAGCAACCCAGAGCTTTGTTTCCGGGATCCTTCACGCTGTGACTTGTCGCGTTGACAAACGCCATGGGCAAGGATCGTCCCATTTCTCAGACAAATGGGGCATGATTTTGGATCATTGGTGAATTGAAGATTGAAAAACAGTTGCATGTTTTTCCGAGCAACAAGCTTGGATTTTTCAGCCAACTTTGTGCCAGCGTACTGGACGTGCGCGTGCTGCGTCGAATTCAAATGTTGTTTTGACAGTGATCTGTTTGGGATTCCGCATGTGTTTTGAATTTGTTTTGCAGGTTTTTGCAAACTTCCCTGGCCAACGGTGCATTGGGACCTGAAAACGTTTTATGCGGTCGGACGTGTTTTGAATGACTTAATTTTTTTGCCACCTTGCTACATGTACAACGTTCAAAATTGTGTGTCAATCGATGCATCACACGTCGAACCAAATCGTGCGCAACAATGAAGTCATGTGAAACGCTTCGATAATGAAACGTGCCACGGCAGGAGCAACCCACTTTTGACATGACGATGTGTTGTGATTAATGATTTAATATATCTGTTAATTAAACTACAATCGTAAAAAAATATATATCAAACATTAATACTGAACATCTTCTGCCGAGGGTCCATAGATAGAAGCCTCAAAACAACCGCAGTGTTGTAGATGGTAGCGGCAACTCGCTTGTAATCCATGAAGCTGAACTCGATGTGTTCTACTGCCTTTACATTGCTTATCAGAGCAAAAACAAACATAGTGTGGAGAAGCTCCTTTGTTCAATGCAGGTTTCCAAACTGCTGGGCGCAGTGCAAGTCGAGCCATTGCCAGGAACATGTTTGGCTCCAGGAAGGGCTGGTGGGATGCGAGGAGATGAATGAGGAATCCCTGGATGATGAGGCTGGGAAATGTGGAAATGAGAAATGCGATGGGGAAAGAATGCGCGTAGGAGAAGGGACACAGCGTGGAGGAACTGCTCCGTGCATTGGAGAGACATCGCGGGCGGCCTAAATGTTTGCTGTTTTTTTTGGATTCTTTGGGGCTTCTTGGCTGAGGTGCCGAGTGCGAGCAGACGGGCAGGCGCAGTCGCAGTCGGGCAGTCGGTCGCCTTTGCAAGTGGGAAATCTTCGCCGTTTGTCAACAGAAGTGAATGTTTAGAAAGACCTTAGGTACGAAGAGGCCGAATTGGCACGCCTGCGCCTGGAACAACTGCGGCAACACGAGGACGCATACGCATTCGCTCAGTGACAGTCGGTCCAGACTCTCAGGAGAAAGGTCGCCGTGATGCTCTGCTGGAGCAACAGTCTAGAACTCAGACACGCTGGGCATTTGATGCGAAATGATCTGGGCCTTGCAGGCTTGCCGAGCGAATGGGAGTCGAAGAAGCTCATATGCTCGGGCTGCAGGTTGGCTTAGTTGAGAATGCTCGGGGTTCGTGAGACTGCATCCCAGGAGTTCAACAACATTTGGGATCAAAAGCAGCAGGATTTTGAGTCCCGTGTGCCTCAGAGCATTTCATGGCACCAGATGGACAGCGCAGAATTTGTTTTGACAAGGCCAACCAACTGCAAACCGTCCTGGCTACCAGACACAAGCAGGAACATCAGGCTAGATCCAAGGCGTTTGGGATCATTTGACTTCTTTCCTCACAGGCACACAAGGCCAACCAACTGCAAACCGTCCTGGCTACCAGACACAAGCAGGAACATCAGGCTAGATCCAAGGCGTTTGGGATCATTTGACTTCTTTCCTCACAGGCACACCTTGAGAAGCTCAGACGAGAAGTGGAACCGAGGCAGGGGTCCGCGTGCGGTGCTTTTCGGATACGACTCGTGTGAGGACACCTCGTTGGAGCCGAGATCTGCTCAACTTGCGAAAGATCCAGGCTGACTGAGTGTTGCCGCACATGTGAATTCCTTAAGCTGGTTTTGGTGAGGAGACTTTGGCAAAGATGAGGAAGTACGCCGAAGCCGAGAAGACCAAGGACGCGCCGAGCTCGAGATGCCGAGCCGCTCGAAAAGTCCGTGAGGCCCAGGCCGACAAGCTCGAGGCCAAGGAGCACAACCATTGGAAGGACGCGAGACGTTTCCAGTCCGATTTCGCTGTTTCAACAGTCTTTCTTTTCGCAACGGCTCGTTGCGGCTCGTTACGGCTCGTTACGGCTCGTTGCGGCTTGCGAGGAGAAGAGAGAAGCAAGAATAGCTGTGATGGAGGAGCAGCTGCGGCCTTTTCGCTCGCCTTATGGGCTTGGCAGCTTCAAAGCTCAGGTTTCTCCACAAGCAGCAGCTTGAAATGGGGGGCCTGCTCAAGCGGCTGAAGCCGGAGCCTGTTTCGTCTCGAGTCTTGTTCCTTCGAACTCTTCGTCGCTTTGTCTTTTCTTTTTTTCTTTCTAAATCTCTTATCTCTTCTTGTCTCTTGGTATTTTCGCCCGAGGGCATCCCGGGAAGAGCTCCGGCGCTCCCGGAAGGCGGAGATGGAGCGCCTGCTGCAGCGCCTCTCGAAAGAACCTTCGAAAAAGGCAGAAAATATGAAACGGCTCGAAGAGATGCGTAGAAAAAGACGAGAGAAAGAGGACACGAGAGGGGCGAAATGCAGAGAGAAGAGCTAGGGAAGAACTAGATATGATATAGATACTTGCAGACAACATGGAAAACACCACGGACAAGTATGATCACACCTACAATGAGAAAATGGAAAACCATGCTCAGCATGCCTTTTGCCTATGCAGCTAGGTTTTGCAGTCAAGAAGGTTGCCTTAGGGTTGCTTTAGGGTTTGGTCTGGGCTTTGGGCTGGGTCGTGATGTGTGGGGTGTAAAAAAGCCAGAGCCAGATAAAGAGACAGCCCAGGTTACCAGAACCTGAAGATGCAGATGGAAAATCAGCAGCGAATCATCCAGCAGCGAGTGGAAAGGTGAGCGTTGCAGAGTGTTGAGCGTACGACGTAGGGTGTGATGTTTTGCGCGTTGGTGCATTCGTTTTTTTGGCTACAACTCGGCTACTCGTCTACTCGTCTACTCGGCTACTCGGCCACGACTGTGACTTTTGGTCGTTGCGCAAGGTATCCCATCACAGCGGCACGGCCCTCCAGCGGCTGAGCGAAAGTGTCTCTCGTCTCACCGTCACTCGCTTGCCGGAAATCAAAGGCACGGCCACCATGACAGGCCATCCTGTCAATTCAGGGGCCCGAATTCGGAAGCGTTTCACGAAAAAGTGGACCCGATGCCGGTGCCCTTGTTCAGCCAGAGTCAGCTTGCTTTTGATACCCTTGATATGTGTGTCAAGCGTACGAACAACTCGGCAACTCAGCATGTTCACCCACCTGTCACAGTCACTCTTAAGATTAGGGCCATTGGGGTTCACGAGACCGTGCGACATCGTGCGACACCGTGCGACACTGGAGAGCTATGGAGGACTACCGCGAGGCCTTGGCCCCATTCACCTCGGCACATGCTGTGTACCGTGCAGGCTCAGAGAGCCAAATGGCTGTCACAGAAAGAGGCCATTTGCACCTTTGCATGTGCCCTTTGTTCGCCTCATTTGCATCTTTGCATGTGCCAGGCTCCAAGTGCTCCAAGTGCTCCAAGTGCTCCAAGTGCTCTAAGTGCTCCAAGTGAAAGCTCTGACGCGCGATTGAAGTTCCCGCGGCTCAGCGCATGAATGCAAATACTGAGTGCACAATGCGACAGAGACTTCCGCATCGAGGAACGCCCGCCGGATCCACATCTTGCCTGTTTATCCCTGTCCTTGCGAGCAAGACCAGCTCTGTCCTGAGAGTCATAGAGCACTCTGAGTTGAGACTGCGAGTTGGAACGGAGGCGCTTGCAGGTTTTGTCCCCGATCCTGCGACAGCTTCGTGCAGATCAGGTCGAGCCGGATTGGATTGCAACGTTTCCGTGCCTTGAGCCTCAGCCTCTTTTTCTCTCTCTCAGGTGCCGGTCCGAACTGGACTTTTTCTTAGACCCCCTGGCCTGGAATTCATCATTGCCGCAGGCTGAGCCAGGCTATGAGGTTTGATTTGTTGAAAGGAAACAAAGCAAGAGCCTAGGTGAAATCTGAGCCAGCTGAAGCTGTTCTGGTGAGCCGGCACGTTGCGCATTTGACGCTGGCCTCCTCTCTGACCGCTTCTCTTTGTCAGGCCCCGAGCACAGACTTCTTTATCGAAGGCCAGCCTCTGAAGCGCTTCGAGAAGGTGCGAGACATGTCAAAGTTGTGACGTTTCAGGGAAGCTTCACGCCCGCAGCGCACGGGACACCGGAACAGAAGCAACTTGAAATCAGTTCGGGTTTCAGGTTCGCTCACGAATCAGACTCGGATGGCGGGACTGAAGCGCGAACGCTTGCAGCAGCTGTTGAGCGAAGTCTTTTCCAATGTGAATGCATCGCATATCTTGCATCTGAGCCGAGCAGAGAATCCGAGAGTTGGAGAGTGCCAAGTGTCTCCGAAGCCAAAGGCAAGCAGAGGGCCGTTCCGACCGGAAACAGACGGTGGAACGTGGAAAGACATCGAAAGGCCACGAAGTCGTTGCAAGGAAAGAAGAAGCTTCACTTTGGGATCGTCCCGAAGTCGAGTCGACGCCGAATTTAGCGGAGAAGACTTTTCGGGAATGTGAGAACAGTCTCGAACAGATTCCGGAGAGAATGAGAACATAGCCAGAGAGGTTGAGATGGGGACCAGTTCATTCCGCTTGCGTCTCGTCGCGTGAATCTCAAAGCCAATACGAAGTTCCGCTCGCTAGGCCCGTGCCGCTAACACTGTCAAACGCAATGGCAAGGCCAGGCTGCCAAGCCCGGATCCACGCGAACAGCGAATGTGCGGTTTACATGAAGTGCTTGTTGTGTGTACAGTTGTGCTTGTTGTGCTTGTTTGTGTGTGTGCACCTAACTTCGCGCTAACGTCACGGATGCAGACGAAGCAATATGGGCTCTCGACAAAAGAGGGCAAGGTCGAAGCTGGGCGCCACCTGCGCAATGGATCACACGGTGCGATTGCGTTCTCACAGCGTTTCCACAGGCGCCCACGACCTGGCACGTGGCTTTGTGACGCGTTTTGCAGTTCGCTGCAAGGAAAACGTGTTGCCGGGAGGCTGGAATGGCGAACTGGGTTCAAGAGCAGCAACAGTATCATTCGTCGACGTTCCGACCTTCGTTCTCCTTGGAGAGACTGCAGCCCCGTGGTCTCGCAGCTCCGCAAAAGCACCACAATTTCAGTATTGTGCAGTCGGCACCATTTGTTCCTTTGCACTTTCTACCGTACAGAGACGGTGATGTGCTACAACTCAGAGAGTGCCAGCCTGCTCGCTTGCTCGCTCGCTGGCTTAGCTTGATTGCCTGCTTGATAGTTTGTTTGGTTGCTCAGCTCCGCCTTCTCAACTCAGTCCCTCAGTCCCGGTCAGCTCACGTTCATTGCTTCGCGCGAATAGTTCAGAGTTGAGAGGTGTCGGCTCGCGAGGTTCAGTTTATTTGTCTCTGGGACTTTGAGCGGGCGCGCACAGAGCAGGCCGGAGGCTTCAGGGCTTGTTGGCAAGGCTTAGAATCACTCGATTCACTCGATTCACTCTATCACATGTATCACATGCATCACATGCATCACATGCAGGATGCAACGACTCTCTTCAGGGATTACATTAACCCATACTTCAAGGAGAGACACACTGAGGAGGCAATTTGATTGTGTTCTCGTGAACTCTTTGCCCTGAGCGACAAGTTGGGCGGCGCCGTGAGGCTACGAGCATCGTGACAGTTAATGAACATCTGCAAATCGCAGACATGGAGTTCCAGGTGAACATTCATTCCCCCATGCAGTTCGCCGTCTTTGCGAACCGAAGGTTGTTGCGGCAGAGCCCACTCCTCCCGAGATCGGCATAGTCGACCTCAGCACTGTCGTGGAGCTGCCACGCTTCATCGTATTTTTTTTGAGGACCCGGCATTGGCCAGCAACACGGTCGCTAGGTCTTCGTTGATTGGGACAACACGCCCGGGACGGAAGGGGACGAAAGGGGATGAGTCGGATGTGGGGCAATCCAGAAAGAGAAAAAGAGAGATTTGGTTTCCGCAGTCAATTCGCTCGGATCGAATCGTTTTGAGGCCGGAGTTCGCGAAGATCCACTTTGTTCCTTTCCAAGACACGCTGCCAGCCGCGTGCCCCGTGACAAGACACAGACTGGGGGAAGTCACTCCTTGCGGCGAAGGTATGAGTACGACATTTTCAACGACTATCTCAAGCCCTATCTGAGCAGGACTGTTGCCTTTGCCCTCTTAGACAACTTCTCACACTTGCCTTGAAAGCTGCCCTATGCGCTGCCTAATGAGACAAGTGAATGCTAGTTGTGGTGGTGAACACTCGTGTTAATATCAACAGATAACAATGTACTTGTGTACTTATCAGTTTTTTTAGTTGACAATCTAATGGATTGAAGCGAAAATGCAACCGTTACCGCTTTTAAAGCAATCAGCTTGCTTCGACAACCGCCGATGTCGTTGGCCATTTTGGTGAAAAGGATCAAATCTTCAAATCTTGCATTTCCGTGATCCTTGATCCTTACCTTCTGGAGTCTTGGACTTCGTGCGCGACTGGGACCAGAGGCGCAATCCCTTCTGGCTGTCTGAGTTGGATGCCGACTTCCCGGCCATTTGGGCGGCTACCCACTTGGACTTGCCGAATCCGGAGCCGACTTGTGTTCCGCCGGGGTAGGTCGTCGCCGCTCCCAACTCGCAGTGCGTTTGACGCGAGAGATCTGCTTTCGGAACGCTCGTTTTCGATCCCGCTCAGGGATCGAATACCAAGTCCACGCCAGCGTCCAGGGCGACCCCAATGCGCAGTGGCGAATCCTCGCACCGCCGACCCATGCGTCAATATTAGGGGCAATCCCAATGATGAGAGTCGATCCAGTGAAGAAGAGACAAATTGATTTTGCGCTGCTGGTGGCAGCGCTGGGTTGGACAATGCGGTTTGTTGTTGTGGTTAGCACTCGTGTTATGAATAGCAATGGTTTGGTGTAAATCTCAGTTTGTGTTGGTGGCAATCTGATGGATTGAAAATGGTTACCGCCTTCCAAACAATCGGCTTGCTTCAATAGCCGACGATGTCGTTGACCATTTGGGCGAAAAGGAGGCCTGATTGCAGTGGCACGCGCTTTTGCTGTACCGTCTGTCGTACAAGGACGCTTGAGGCGCCCCTCTTGAGTCACGGCTGTTTCGAGGCGACACAAGTGTAACTCGTGTAACTCGTGTAACTCGGATGCCGTGCTAGCGTGCTACTTGCATTTTTGTATCGGGCATCGATGTGCCGCTGTGATGCGCCCGAATACGGATGGCATCTCGCTTTGGCCGGCCTTTCCTTGTGCAGTTGGCGCTTTCCACTCAATGAGAGAAGTCGAGGGGGGAAATGCAAGCATTTCGTCCACAACGCCGTGTTTCAAAGATGTTTTGCCTTGAGTGAGTTTTACTGTTTCAATTCCGCTGCCGACCCACGCCTTAACACGAGCAAGCGGAATCCCAATCACTGGGAATCGATCCAGTAAAGGGACAAATTGATTGTGTGCACCCTGCTGGTGGCAGCACTGGGTTAGACATTGCGGTTTGTTGTTGGCATGGTGGCAGACGGCATGATACAGAGAGCCAAAGTGGCAGCCGAAACATGACGAAACCGAGCTGAAACTACAGCCCAAACCCTGGCCAAATCCTAAGTCCTAAGCAGTGCGTGCCTACCCCAACAAGCTTTGTGTTCCAAAATATGCCCCTGCTTTCGGAAACGAGTCCACTGCCTGTGTTCAAAATTGAGCCACAGTTGGCGTTCGAAGTTGATCCGGGCCTTTGCTTTCGAGAGCTTGCCTGCGAAAGCGCAAAGGAAGGGCCGAACTTAGCATTGAGACAAGGTCGAAGCATTCAACACGTGATTGCTGAAGCAAGCTCATTTGCCATGCTCGCGTTGCCACAGCTGCAGCAAAACGAAGCTTTGGATGCTCCGGTGTTGCTCCCATGTTTTGTATCACATTCTGACTTTCTGAAACTTGCAACGCTTCCGAATTGCTTTTGCTACTGAGCCGGTTTGCGCGTTATATGCTTGCCCCAGGAACAAGCTTCAGAGCTTCACAGTGAATGACCATTTCACCTTTCAGGCACGGAGTGAGAGAGCGGGCCTGTGAGAATCTTGTTGACAAGCTGAAACGTGAAAGGGCGGAGTACATTGCACTTGCGAAGCGGGTTGAGTGAGATGCAGTCAGGCACGTGACACATCGCTCTGTTCACTGATTTGGCTCGCAGGGTGTGCAGTTCAAAGTGGTGTGCTGCGAGCCTCGCGGCCCCGCGCGCATCGGCCACCAACTCAGAGAGCGTGTCATTTTCTCATCGGCGGCTGTTGACTCTGGACGTGGCTCCCATAGCTCTTACCACACGGTCACGAGGCAAGAACACCACAATCTTTTGCGAGGGAGCTGCAGCCTCAGGGTCTGAGCAGAGTGTGACTGGCGCGCACCTCTGGGAGGTTTTGCACCCGTCCCTGCGGAACCTGCTCCCTCCCGAAATGCGGGGACGCTGAGATGCTATCGTTTGGATGCCTCTTGTTCGTGAGGCTTGAGCAACTGCAATCCCTGCCTCCGGGCCTGCAGATGATGCTGTTGAATACAGAGGCGGGAGAAGAGTCAAAAGGAGCGTACGGAGCGTACGGAGCGTACGGGGCGTAAGGAGCGTACGGAGCGCACGGAGCGTAGTGAGAGGACAGAGCAAAGGACTTGACTCGAGGCCATCGCTGGGGGCTATGAGGAACGTCTCATCGAGGTTTCGAGTCGCTCGTTTGTGTTACTTTGGAACACGTCGTTGCAGGTGCAGGAGATCCTTTCAAGGAGACATGGAATGGCTCAGGAGTTCATCGATCGCATTCCCCGAAGCAGGCGTGCTGAGATTCGCGAAGAGCGCGTCGCATTCGCCCCGTCAGGTGGAGTGACGAGACGGGCAACGGGCAGACGACGTGCATGGCAAGACTCTAAGAGCCGCAGACATTCGCAGTCGAGCCAGACCGAGTCCGAATAGGAGTCGTTCAGGTGTGCCTCGGCGCTTTTGAGGCAGATAGCGAGGCTGGGGTTCACAGATCAGAGAAATGTCTGAGAGAGACACTTAGCCAAAAGAAAGGTTGGAAGGACAGAAGGCCAATTAAGTCTAATTACTCTCAACTTGCTACTTGCTAGGTGCGGCAGCTTCCTTGTCAGCACTTCTTCCATGTGCAGTGCATCGACGAATGGCAGCAGTCTCACCATTGCACATTGGTGCATGCCTGGGTGCATTGGTTCATGAGGCTTCGTCGCTGCACGGATTGTCCCATTTGCAAAACCAACGTGGACAGAGCAGCCCGGATCTCGGGTCAACCTCTGCATTTTGCCTCCTTGCCACATGCCAGGTGCGGCAGTACTGACATCCTCGCACGGGGAAAACGATCGCATGTGCAATGTGCGGTGCAATGGGCATCGATCAATGTGTATGGGGGCCGGGGATCGGGCAGGGTGCGTTGCCTGCATGGTCTCAAGACAGGGGTTTGTCGATGACATGTAGACTCCATGGGCATCCGCGAGAATGCGAAGGCGGAGCTGGGCTAACGTAGCATGCGTTGCTACCTTGCTACCTTGTGCCTGTTTTCCCCTGAGGAGCTTGCAGACGAGATAACGCGCGCCGGCTCAGTTCAGTTTGCTTCGGCCACTGATCAAAGCAGCTGAATGTGATGCCAGCGCACATGCTAAACCTTCTGCACCTTGATTTGTGCGTGTGCTCCTGGCGTAAAAACTGGGACAGGGCCCTTCGCCTTATCCCCTTTGCTCAGGGCCAAGCGCGAGCAAATGACCTTTTTGGTGAAGTAAAGCATCGCAGTAGAAACACTGCATTCCCACCTCACTAGACTCAAGCCCGCTATTCTTGGTCCAGCGTCAGCTCGAATGTTCTCGTGAAAGGGTACTGGTAGCCGCAGGTGATTCCTGTCTGCAGGTGCCGCAAAGGCATCTTCAGATCTTCAGAGCTTCCAACTCATGTGGCAAATCCGTGTAGACCTCCAAACCGGGTGGCAGTCCAATCTCCAAAATGATCCCATGGCTGTCTCCTTCAAGTTTGGCAGCCTGGACCTTCACATTCTTGTCGCACACCGGGCGTACACGTCAACGCGCTCTCGGCCATGAGCAACGGCCTTGATGTCCATCTCGCGACTCAGATTGCGAAAGCTCGCTTTGATTTTCATGCCAAACTTCTCTTTGCCCTCCGTTCTCCGGAGTGCTGGTTTCCCACAGTTCCCGCATCTCCGCCAGTACTGGCACTGCTTCTTGACGATCCGCCTTAGATGGGTTCCGCGCCTTTGTCCAGGGCATAGTCCCAATCTCATTTGTGCCGCGGCCCCGCGGCCGTTCTTGAGTGGCCCAGCCGAGCTTCACTTAAGTAGCGCATCAGAATCAGTGTGTGATCCTCCTTCGTGTAGGGTTCAGTTCCGCGTTCAGGAAGGCATCCAGCACGGTGTTCCTCCGTTTCTCCACCACGATCTTCAGACTCCACGAAATTCGCGTGCAAGATCTTCTCCTGGTCCACGTGCTCCGGGGTCTTCGTCCGCCTCTCTCAGCTTTCAAACCATTGTGATCCCGACCACCTCCTCTTCCTCCAGAGCGCAATACTCTTCGCTGATGACTTCGAGCGTCTTCACTGCTCTCTTCACCTTGGTCTTTTTGCTGCCGCTCCGGGTCTTTAATCTGCATCCTTTGAACCCGCAGCGCCTCGTCAAAGAGCTCGTCGCCTTCATTCTCCACCCGTTGGTCGTGTCCTGCATGGGGCACAAGTACCTGGCTTGAGGGCCAAACAAATCCTTCTTGGATGGGCACAATCACTACCCATGCCGAACAGATACTTCGCAAGTATGCTCCTTCCACGAACCTGCCGCCCATGGCCACCACTTCTGCTTTCATCCCCATTGACTTCACCACGCCGATGTACCCATCCGTTCTCTTGAGGTCCGGAGTGATCATTCCGGATGTTCCCAACCTACACTCATAGAGTCTCTTGCTCTTCTCTCTGCCTTGGTCCGTCTGAAGCCGGGCCAACAGGATGTCCATCAGGCGAATATAGGCCTGCATGGCTTCAAGGATTCTCTCCTCCCTTCAACCTCAATGTAGATGAGCGGCGTCACCTCATGGGCCCTTTCGCTCGCTAGGTCCTCCGGTTCTGCATCATGTTTTGGACCAACCTGCCTCGATCTCCCGGATCGGCTGCCACCATGCCGAAGAACTCCATCTCGAGCAAAGTCCCGTGTCGTGTCCGGTCGTGTCCCGATCGTGTCGAGCTTTCGAGCTTTGCTCCATCCCGTGCCTCCCTCATAGTCCCTCAGGAAGACCAATTTCCTTGCTCGCCGAAACAGCGCAACCCGGCACTCGCTGAGCGCATACGGGAGCTGCGCATTCTCTGAAACTGTTTTCCAAAAAGTAATGCTTATCATGAACTGCTTGTCACGCGATCCCATGCTTCCTAAACTCATGAACGTGACCCCCTGCTTCCTAAAGTCATGAGCCAAGCTGGCCAATGTACACCTGCGTCCAGGGCCGTGAGCGATCGTGCCCTTTCTTTGCACGGACCTGGCCCTTCTGGCAATCTCGCGGCAGTCGATCTCCACCTGGTTGCCCATCACACCCCGCGGCCTGAGCGGCCGCGATCATTTGCCTCGGCCCCGCAGCCTCGTCAACTTCAGTCATGGCGCCTTGGGCTAATCCTGTGCACCTTGATTTGTGCGTGTCATCCCGAAAAACAACGGGCCGCGACTATGCCCTTCACCGCTTCTGCGCAACTAGCTAGTCATCCCGCTGCGATTGAGGCCATTCGCCAGGACCCTTCTGGGATGTGCCCTGAGTTTGCCCCAGTCCGGGGGCGGCGGGTAACTCCACAAGGTACGGCTTGTGGCCTTTGCCTCGCGCTGGCTTTGGCCATTGCTTTTGGCTGTGCCTCGTCAGCACGTCAGTGGCACCAAAGTCAAGCTGGGCTCTCCGTGAGGCTATTTGGACCTCACCTTGCAGGGCATCCGAGAGATCTGGGAAAGAGCTGATTGCTCTGTGTGACCCTCGGAGGTACCTTTGTGCGACCAGTGTCCAGACTTGCTTTCCTTGAATAGTGGATTCGGTTTGCTTCTCTGTGTAGCTCGTTCGGACCGCAGGTTCTTGATTCTCTGATTGGGTGCAACACTTTCCAACTGAAGGCTATGGGGTCTTTGCCCAGGCAAGAGTCGTACTTCAGGCGCCGTGCGAAGGCAGTGTTGTTCTGAGGTTGACTTTGATTAGCTAGAAGAGGGGAGAACAGAAGAGACAGTTTCATGCCCTGAGCACGCGTCCGAGGGGATTGACTCGAGGATTCACCATGGCCGGGGTTGCGCGGAGATTGATCCGCGTACGCGTGCGCAGGGCTTGAAACCGTCTCTTATGTTCTCCTCTGTTCTAGCAGGGGGGGTTGATGGGGGGTGATGATGATGTTGGTGCGCTGGTGACACACTCGGTTTTTACATAGCAGCCGGGTGTCTATAGCTCCCGACCCCCCGGGATCGGTACGCTTAAGGACCACGGGCTTCACGGGCACCACGGGCTTCACGGGCACGGGCTTCACGGGCTTCACGGGCACCACGGGCATCACGGGCACGGGCTTCACGGGCACCACGGGCACCACGGGCTTCACGGGCAGCACGGGCACCACACGCGCACCACACGCACCACGGGCAACACGGGCAGCACAGGCAGCACGGGCACCACGGGCATCATACGCAGCACAGGCAGCATAGGCTCCACGAAGGCTCAACGAAGGCTCCACAAGTATGTGCCCGATAAACAAGAAAACCCAAATGGCATAAGGAACTTCAAAATCTTCAAAGCCAACATCTCTAAAATACTGGCGAGCTGCACAGAAGGCCACCGAACGAAAGAGAGAATGAAAACACTGTAGGTTTGCAGAACAGTCGAACGGTCAATGAGCAATCCAAGCGCCACGCCCTCCGTTCCAGGCCAAGCTACACAACGGAGCTGCTACTTTAGGTTTGCCCCTTGTCTGCCCCCAACCTTCGTCAAGGCAACTAATTCTTGACAGCTTCGCGCCAGGCTTGCAAAGACTGATGCTAAAACGAACTAGCACAAGATAGAAACTGTTCATCCCCATCCTCGTCGAGGCGACTAATTACTAGCGGCTTCGCGCCAGGCTTGCAAAGGGCGGGATGCCAAAGCGAACCAGCAAGATAGAAACTGTGGGATTTGGTCCACCGTCACCAAGGTGAGTGCCCCCCAACGGACTCACGTCAGGCGTGCAAAGGGTGGAATCTCAGCGCTTCCAACTCGAAACAAGAAGCATGTCAAAAACATGTGCTTGCGCAGGATCACATCTTCCATCCGAGATCTACCCATGGCTTCACCAAGGCGAAAACCCCAAAGACTTTGCGCTAGGCCTCGCCCTCACAGGTGCAACAGGCTCAGGGGCATCAGCATCCAAATCTATTGGTGCCGCCACAGGCTTCTTCTGCTCTTTCTTGATCCGTGGCGCCTTCTCAGCCTTGCTCCTCACACGGTCTGCCAAGGTAGAGAAGGGAAGCTGGCACAGCATCATGAGTTCGTTGTGAAAGCGACGCAGTGCGAGTTCATCTGCGCAGTCTGGCAGGTCCACAAAAACTCTTGGGCAGTTCGGACGCTCTTCAGCATCAGCCCCGCAACAATACCTCGCAATGCGGCTGTCCCGCAAGCCCGCCTCCATCACTGCCTTCCAGTGATGGATTTTCACAGCGGTGCGCTGGAACTTAGCGCCTGAAGAGCCAGGGCATTCCACCTTCTTCCTGACAACTGTGGAGTCGATGACCCGGAAACCGAAGATGCAAGGCTCTCCTCGCAAAAGCGTGCGCTGCATGAGGGCCTTGCTGGTGCAACTTTCGACCCAAGTACTTCATCCACTACATAACGGGTGGCTCGGAAGAATGGAAATAGGACAGGCACACTCTGACATCTCCTCTGCAAAACACAAGCACGTCAATGCCCCCGCCCAAGCATAGCCTCTGCAAGTTCTGGAACCTCCGCACGGGGTTCGCCGCGACCACAATGCATTCGCACAGAGCCACAGCGAGAACGCTTCGACACGCAGGGTCTCCGCAGAGGCAACGCCGAGGTCAAGACATATTCAAAGTGCGCACCTCGAAGGTTCGCCGAGGTCAACACAGCGCCGCGACGAGAGCGCTTTGACGCGGAGTGAGGGCGCATCGACACGCGCAATCTCTACAAAAGATTCACCGAATTTCGGCATATTCGCACGGCGCCACAGCGAGAGCTTGGTCTCACCCAAGGGCTTGCCGAGCTCAAGACGCATTCGCACGGAGCCACGGCGAGAGTCGAATAGCTCCGCAGAGGGTTTGCCGGCTCAGAAGAAGAATCACGGTTGGCAGGAGAGGCTGGCAGGCGAAGTAACTTGCGAAAAGTTCGCATGAGATGTTGCAGGCGAAGTTTGTAGCCGCCTTTAGGAAAAGAACCCATGCTTCCGGGAACTTGACGAAAACTCAAATGCTTGCACACAGGCTTGCTAGTTTCAGCCTGCAGCACTCTGTCGCTCATCACAACTTCTCCCAGCGCCGGGTCTTGCACCGAAGCTCCGTTCTCCCCGTATCCACACGTCAGGGCAGGGACGTCAGGGTCCATTATGGTGAGAAGCGCTGGCAACTCTTCCCCAGCTTCTGCAAGAACGTCATCATCCTCCACCGCTTCGAAAGCCCCGAACTGCGACGTTGGTAACCTGCCCGCTTCCTGCGCTGCTGCCAACTTCTGGGCTGCAGACAAAGTCCAAGCCCCTGAGTCCTCCACCTTCGCAAATGCCTCCTGCTGACACCAAATGTCGACAAGCGCGTGGGAAACTTGGACTTGTTCCCAGGCCCTCAAGATGTGGTGATCCTGGATCTGCACCTGCGTGGTCTCCTCAATGGAAAGTTCCCAAATCAGGTTGGCAGCCGCCAACATGGCAATGTGCCACGGAGCGCAGCCTGCGCGTGCAGCGCTCCCATTGTCATCTGCTCCGTTTCTGAGCAAGGCGCCGCGTGTGTTGCAGCACGCCTGCAGACCTGTGAAGACTGCCCGGGCTTCCGCGCTCATGTCGATGCGGGAGTTAGCCGTCTCGAAGAATGAGACAACTCTTCGTGCAAGGGACTGAACGTCTGGTTCGAAAGTGGGCCTTGTAGTACCTCTGCCCTCCCTTGACCTGGGCCAGCCAAGTGACACCAACACACAGGCGTGCATGCTTTTGAGCATCGCTGTCAACCTGAACGAAAACGGGAGAACCGGCCGCTTACAGGAAACTTGTGCAGAAACGACAAACCTTCTTAAGGTCAAGATGCCTCCGCCACGCGGAACCGAAGCAAAGTCTCGGTGCCATCGGCAAGGACCATGTTGTACACCTGATCCCCATGCCCGTCAGCGTCGCGGCAGGCTGGGGCGAACAACTTCGCAGCCACCTGGTGGCGGTTCGCGCCAGCAGGCAGCCCGAGGGGCTCGAGCATGCAGTCCAACAACGGCGCCCAGATCCTCAGAACTTGCCAGGAGTTACCCATTTGAAATGAAAACCGCGGCCCCCAAATCAAATAAAGAAGGACCATAGTCTAAGTGTCCACGGATCAAAGTCAGCTGGGACGTCCAGGCTGGCGGGGAGCGGGGCATGCGGGTCAACTGGTCTTCCGCACGTTTGCAGCAGGCGCTCACGACAAGCAACGTCGTGCGAGCCGCTGGCGCCGGTCAAGCAAGGCACGTACTTGGAGGGATGAACATTGCCAAAGCCGAGCACACCAACTGGGGCCTTGTTCCTCGTGGTGCCGAAAGACCCCGCGTTCTTGCATGCGTAAGAACTTCGCCCCGTCTGGAGAATGCGATTCAGTTCGGACGCCAGCTCCGCAGCCTCGCCGGACTTAGCGCTGGCGCCGCTCCCAATCAATCCGACCATCCGCAGGAAGCGATACGCTTCGTCCAGATTGAGGAGGTTGGACATGTGCACCCTGCCAGTACTACCGTCAGACCACTGCACCTGCGGCCACTGAGGGCTGCAGCGTTGGAGGAATGCCTGCTCCGTGAACATAGCCAACATGACACTGGTAAGTTTCCCTGGCTCCTCTGGACCATGCTGCGCGGCCCTTCTCTGGCACGCCTCATCAATGACGGCCGAAATGTCATCAAGCACTTGGGTAAGCTGCGACTTGCGTGTCTGGGTCACATTGCAATTGAGAGCAATGAGGCTGAGAGGCGAAGAAGAGCCTGGAAACACTTCTACAACGGCACCGTTGGCGCAGCTGCAAAGGGCTATCTGCAAAGACAGCCCCAGAGGCATCGCCGGCGTAGATGCTCGTGCAGCAAGACGTTGGACAATTTGAGACCCGCGTTCGCCATAGATCTCCTCGATCTTGAACACTCTATCAACATAGTCATAGGCTGCGTTCCTCTGGGCCGAGAAGTCCTCCTCCGGCTTTGCGGCTGGCTCTTTTCGCGACATCCGGCCAACACAAAGGGACTGCGCCTACCTACCGCCCGGAACCGCTAGTTGCCTCGCAGCGCTCGCCCTAATTGGCAAGAGCTCAAACCAAATCGCACAACACACAGGTCGCGCGCAGCCGCGCAAAGGAAGATGCGTGTGGGGCTCAGGCTCTGCTGCTGGCATCTCAGCCAGCCTGCGCTGCACGGCGCCCTGCTATCTCACTCACGCTATCGACGCTGTCGAGAACGGGGGCCAAACGTGTTGTTTGCCCTCGCTTCCAGGAACTCGCCCGAAACTGACTATAGGGTTCAGTAGGCACGTTTTTGCCCGCAATACACATACTGCTGTCTAACCCTGGCGGCGTGGTCAACGCTCGGTCAATCCCTTTTACACAGTCTGCCAGTCTCAGCCATTCAGCCGCGTTTCATGGCACAACAGGAAAAGCTAGATAGAACATGTAGCTGAGCACCCAAAACAACACTTCAACACGCTTGGGACCAAAAGAAAGCATAGATAAGAGATCGTCAGGACGTGACCGTAAAACTTGCTCACGGCTTGGGAATGCACAGCGCAAGCCTGGCCAGAGCCTAACTAAACATCAGATGTTCCAACAGTGCCTGAGCGGGCACGAAAGAAGCCACCTCTGAAGCCACTCGAAGGAGGGCCCCGCAGCGATTCAACTCCGCAGCATCAACTTCTAGAAGAGGGAAACAAGGGGTTTAAAACCCTTCTAGACAAGGTCCCTGGAAACGGGCAAGTGTGGACCGTGATCACAGACTTGCTACGCAGCACAAACGAATGGGTCTCACCGTTCCATTCTCCCTGTTGAATGCGCCGCGCAGAAAGTCTAGATCCAGGCGTAGAAGCCGCTCGCATGAGACCCTCATGCAGGAAAAGAACATCGGGTAGCCAGTGTCGTTTTGTGGCAACCTTCTCGTTTCACAGGGTTTTGCGCGTTTCACATCTGATTTGGCTTTGGCAGCTCCAGCACAAAGGTCGCAACTTTAAGAAGTACGCTGTACCAGCGCAACTCTTCAGCACATGTAGGAAAGGAAGTTTTCTTTGGCAGGTGTATACACCTGGATCGAGAGTTGCTACGCAGCACAAACGAATGGGTCTCACCGTCCCACTCTCCCTGTTGGATGCGCCGTGCAGAAAATCTCGATTCCGGAGCCCGGCCGGGTGAGTGGCCAAACGAGTGTCTTGGAGACAAAGAGGCCACCAGAAGGCAAACATTCAGCCGCAAATGCTAAAAATAAACGGGTTACGGAACTGCCATCATGATACCGGCGGGATCCAGACTTGCTACGCAGCACAAACGAATGGGTCTCACCGTTCCATTCTCCCTGTTGAATGCGCCGCGCAGAAAGTCTAGATCCAGGCGTAGAAACCGCTCGCATGAGACCCTCATGCAGGAAAAGAACATCGGGCAGCCAGTATCGTTTTGCGGTAACCCTCTCGCTTCACAGGGTTTTGCGCGTTTCACATCTGATTTGGCTTTGGCAGCTCCAGCACAAAGGTCGCAACTTTAAGAAGTACGCTGTAACAGCGCAACTCTTCAGCACATGTAGGAAAGGAAGTTTTCTTTGGCAGGTGTATACACCGGATCGAGAGTTGCTACGCAGCACAAACGAATGGGTCTCACCGTCCCACTCTCCCTGTTGGATGCGCCGTGCAGAAAATCTCGATTCCGGAGCCCGGCCGGGTGAGTGGCCAAACGAGTGTCTTGGAGACAAAGAGGCCACCAGAAGGCAAACATTCAGCCGCAAATGCTAAAAATAAACGGGTTACGGAACTGCCATCATGATACCGGCGGGATCCAGACTTGCTACGCAGCACAAACGAATGGGTCTCACCGTTCCATTCTCCCTGTTGAATGCGCCGCGCAGAAAGTCTAGATCCAGGCGTAGAAACCGCTCGCATGAGACCCTCATGCAGGAAAAGAACATCGGGCAGCCAGTATCGTTTTGCGGTAACCCTCTCGCTTCACAGGGGTTTGTGCGTTTCACATCTGATTTGGCTTTGGCAGCTCCAGCACAAAGGTCGCAACTTTAAGAAGTACGCTGTAACAGCGCAACTCTTCAGCACATGTAGGAAAGGAAGTTTTCTTTGGCAGGTGTATACACCGGGATCGAGAGTTGCTACGCAGCACAAACGAATGGGTCTCACCGTCCCACTCTCCCTGTTGGATGCGCCGTGCAGAAAATCTCGATTCCGGAGCCCGGCCGGGTGAGTGGCCAAACGAGTGTCTTGGAGACAAAGAGGCCACCAGAAGGCAAACATTCAGCCGCAAATGCTAAAAATAAACGGGTTACGGAACTGCCATCATGATACCGGCGGGATCCAGACTTGCTACGCAGCACAAACGAATGGGTCTCACCGTTCCATTCTCCCTGTTGAATGCGCCGCGCAGAAAGTCTAGATCCAGGCGTAGAAACCGCTCGCATGAGACCCTCATGCAGGAAAAGAACATCGGGCAGCCAGTATCGTTTTGCGGTAACCCTCTCGCTTCACAGGGGTTTGTGCGTTTTCACATTTGTTGACAGCTCCATCTCGAAGGTCGCAACTTTTCAGCACAAGTGTGGTGAAAGAAGTACGCTGTGGCAGCTCAAAAGTTGCACCTTTTCAGCACATGAGGTAAAGGGAGTAACACTTTGGCAGCTTCGGCCGGAAAGTCGCGCCTCCCCTCTTCAGTGCAACTGTACTACATAAAAGACGTGTGGCAAAGAATCTTTTCGCTACATCCGGGCAGTCCCGTGCACAAGCCATGTTCACTGTCGGGGTGTCGTTGTTTTGCTTTGACCCTGTCGTCTGCACACTTTTCGCATGTTGCGCTGCACATGTTAGCGCGTCACGTCCTGCACTTTGGCACGCCATGTCCCGCACTTTGCACTTACACGTTGGTCTTTGAAAGGTTTTGCTGGGCGCGCATATGGACAAACTTCGTCCCAGACATTCCCCCGCTTGTAATGGCCAACGCCCCGCATTGCCGGGATTGATTTGCCCATTTGCAAGACGCAAGGACACGCCCCCTTCACCCCTTTTTTGCCGCAAGGTTACGCACGCGCGCGTCCCGCCGAAGTAGTGGCTAATCATGACAAGGAATCACGCGCCCACTTCTTCCCGACGGCGCTTGCGATTTGCTTTGTCGCCAGCACCGGCAACTTGATTGCGTCCTTCAACAATTTCCTGTAAATAGAAGCTGCGGGTGCTCGAGGCTACAATGGATCTGAAAGCAACCCGGTAGCGGCCGAGAATGGAATTGCAGGACTCCGCTGCAGATGTGTTGAGACCCCTAAGCAGCTCTTGATGCACTGATGGATGGCAGTGACGGGCGCACCATGGATCCCGATGGGCGGCACTATGGAACCGGTCCAACACCCACGCCAGCTCTGACAGGCGTTTGGCAAGGGCGTTGCGGCCCTTGTGCTTCAGCGCGTAGCGCGCCACATGGCAAGCATCATCGTGGATGCAGCAACGCACATCCTGCAACCTTGCACAGATTTCCGCAAGAAAAAAGTATCTCACTGGGATGGTCTCAGCCCCTACAAACTGCTGCAAGTGGACAATGAAGCCCTCGGAAGTGCAAGCCAAAAGAACTCCGCCTAGGCGATTCTGACGAACAAGCTGCCGGTACTGCTTGGATGTCTCTTTGCTTGTGCGGCATGACACTTCTTCTTGCCCAGGAGTGCGCTGAGAGATGAAGCCCTGCTCCTCTTGCTGCGACCAATACTCTTCCAATTGCCGCGGCGTGCATTTCCCAGCCGAAACCCATTTTCCACGCTCCTGCGACGCAACGCCGCATAGGACCGCGTCAACCGACTTCAAGAGCACCTCGTACGGAAACTGACACGGCTGAGCCATGAGAACTCGGTAGCGACGATGCGCAACGACAGCCTGATCATCCAGCGGGCCCTCCTGAGCTTTCGACATATGAAGGTCACAGCGGCGCGCTTTGCGAGCGGGAGGGCACGAGCAGGGAACCGCCGTGTAAGCTTGTAAGGGCTCGCAGCGTCGCAATTCCGCCACTGGCCTGCCGCATACACGACCACTGAGTTTTAAGTTGCCATCAACCACGAGAGCTCTAAGGTCGTGCCCGCGCTCTTTTGCCATGGCCAGTCGCCGCTGAAGCATATGTTCGTCATACCACGGAGCCGTTGACAAAGTCTTTGCAAACGGCAGGCTCAAATTGACACAGCGCCCTTCTTGAGTCTCCTCCTCGCGCTGGTGCAGCCGCAGAACAAATCTCCAAGAAAGCCAACTTTTGAACAGAAAGAGCCCTGGGTGCCTTGGAACACGGCCCTCAAAGCCTGCAGCCCTTGCCTCTGCTCCATGCACTTGCGCCTCGCCAGAGAACGCCACATATTGGTAGAACAAGCGGCGGGTCATCTGCTGAAGCCAGGACACAGACACTCCATGCCTGGCATCCAAGAAGAAAAACTGCAGCGAGCCAGCTGTCCAGTGAAAACGCCGCTCACTCTTGGAGATCGCGATGAAATTGTAGAAGATAGTCTTGCCGCAAAACTTGCACCCCTGTCTCCGACATCTCTTTGTCACATGTTTGACCGCGCGCCAGCCTTCAGGAAAAAGAACTGCAGCGTGAAGGCCTGCCAGTTTTCCACGAGATAGCGCTGCCCCGCACTCCGAGCAGTGCCGGGACGCTGGCTCAGCTGTGTGCATGCTGCCCTGCGCACAGATAAAGACGCATCGTGGCGCTTCGGCTTCTACGTCATTGAACAAGTAAGGACTGAAGCACCGAACAAAACACGCAACTTCGTCGGCTTGTGCTCTTGTGCCCAGCTGCTGAGTCAAATGGCCCCAGGCCGCTGGCTCAAGCATCAAACGAGAAAAGGGCTCCCAGGTTGTTCCAAGTCCCCCAAACACACAAATAAACTCAGACTTGGCAAATGCTAGAGAAGGACCAAAACAGGCTTTAAGGAAACATGAACATGTTTCTCGCATAAGATTTCGCATAAGATGTTGCGTTGTAATTGCGAGGGGCCCTTTCAGCAGTAGAGAAGAGATGGTGCAGCCATCCCTTGACAAGCCAGCCCTCTCACCCACGGGCTGCGCCGGCCTCCCAAGTGGCGAGCTGGGCCATGAGGTGGCGTAGAAGAGCGGCAGACCCACGCAGCGAAGTCCAACCGCCCCATACCCTAGGCCTACTTCAACAAGTTAACGCGTGGAGACACGGGCAGCATGGGCAGCACGGGCAGCACGGGCAGCACGGGCACGGGATCACGGGCCCACGGGCTTCACGGGCACCACGGGCTTCACGGGCACCACGGGCACGGGCACCACGGGCACCACGGGCAGCACGGGCACGGGCACCACGGGCACCACGGGCACGGGCTCACGGGCCCACGGGCTTCACGGGCACCACGGGCACCACGGGCACGGTCCCAGAACGTACCTGCCCCGACCCCCCGGGGACAACCCCCGTAAAGTGAATTGACGCAGTCATTTTCTAGCTTTTTTGTTTTGAGGGCTCGCCCCGGCCTTACTTCGGGCTGTTTTCGGCTCTGGGTTTTGCACGTTTGCGCCGGTTTGGCTGCTGCGGAGACGCGGGGACGAGGGATTCCTGTGTCCGTGATGCTGCTTTTTGTGGCCCGTTTTGCTGTGCTTCCGGGCACGACCCTTTTTTCCGGGCACCCCTCCCCGGTTTTGGGCCGTTGCCGGCTGGCCTTTTGTCTTCCTTGCTGCCTGCCTGCCTGCCTGCCTGCCTGCCTGCCTGCCTGCCTGCCTGCCTGCCCGTTTGTCAGCTTGCCTTCCTGTGTGACTGCTTGCCTTTCTTTCCTCTCCAGCCGATGCCTGTCCGTGCGCCCGCTTTTTTGATTGCTTGCCTGGTGCTTGCCTTCTTGTGTTCCTACGTTTGTATGCATATGCATATGTGTATGTATATGTTTATGTGCATGTTTTGTGATGCGGGGTGCAGTTCGAAATTTGCATGCTGGTGTATGTATGTAATGTATGTATGTATGCATGCATGCATGTATGTATGTATGTAATGTGTCTATGTATGTAATGTGTGTATGTATGTTTGTATATATGTATGTATGTATGTATGTATGTATGTGTGTATGTATGTATGTATGTATGTATGTATGTATGTATGTATGTATGTATTGTATGTATGTATGTAATGTATGTATGTATGTATGTATGTATGTATGTATGTATGAATGAATGTATGTATGTATGTATGTAATGTAATGTATGTAGGTTTGTACACACGTACGTGCGTATGTATGTAATGTATGTAATGTATGTATGTAATGTATGCGTGTCTGTAATGCATGTATTTATTTTAATGTAATGCAATGCAATGCAATGTAATGAAATGTAATGTAATGTATGTAATGTATGTATGTATGTATGTATGTATGTATGTATGTATGTATGGATGGATGGATGTATGTATGTATGTTTGTCTATATGTATGTATGTATGTATGTATGTATGTATGTGTGTGTGTATGTATGTATGTATGTATGTAAAATAATGTATTGTAATGTGTTGTAATGTATTCTATGTATTGTATGTACTGTATGTATTGTGTGTATTGTGTGTATTGTGTGTGTGTTGTATGTATTGTATGTATTGTACGTATTGTATGTATTGTATGCATGGCATGCATTGTTGGTGTGGTTTGTATGGTTTGTGTGGTATGTATGGTCTTATGTATGGTATGTATGGTATGATGGTATGTGTGTGTGCTAATGTAATGTAATGTAATGCAATGTTATGCAATGTAATGTAATGTAATGGTAATGGTAATGGTAAATGTAATGTAATGGAAAATGTAATGGAAAATGTGATGTAATGTAGTGTAATGTAACATAATGTAATGTCATGTAATGTAATGTGTGTATAGTATGTGTATGTATATATGTATACATGTAATGTAATGCAATTTAACGTAATTTTTTGGTACCATAAGACAATATAATGTAATGTAAGTATGTATGTAATGTAATGAAATGTATGTATGCATGTTTGCATGTAGGTATGCATGTCTGTATGTATGCATGTACGGTAATGTAATGTAACATAATGCAATGCAACGTGATGTATGTATGTGTGTATGTATGTATGTATGTATGTATTTATGAATGTATGTATGTATGTATGTAGCGTGTGTATGAATGTCTGTCTGTTTTGTCTTGTCTTGTCTCGTGTGTATGTATGTATTGAATGTATGTATGTAATGTTGTGTATACGCATGTATGTATGTATGTAATGTCATGTCATGTGATGTGATGTGATGTAATGCAATGTAATGCAATGTAATGTAATGTAAGGTATGTATGTAAGTGTGTAATGCATGTATGCATGCATGCATGCATGTACGTATGTGTGTATGTGTGTATTGTACTGTGTTGTAATGTATTCTGTGTATTGTATGTATTGTATATATTGTATGTATGTATGTACTGTATTGTATGTATTGTATGTATTGTATGTACTGTATGTGTTGTATGTATTGTATGTATTGTTTGTATCGTATGTATTGTATGCATTGTATGTATTGTATGTATTGTTGTTGTGGTTTGTATGGTTTGTATGGTATGTGTGGTCTGTGTGGTATGTGTGGTATGTGTGGTATGTATGGTATGTATGGTATGTATGGTATGTATGGTATGTATGGTATGTATGTATGCCAATGTAACGTAATGTAATGCAATGTAATGCAATGTTATGTAATGTAATGGTCATCGTGATGGTACTGGTAATGGTAACGGGCAATGGTGCATGTAATGTTAGAAAATGTAATGTACTGTGATGTCGTGTAATGTAATGTAACATAATGTAATGTATGTTTGGTATGTATGGTATGTTTGGTATGTAACGTATGTAATGTAATGTAATGTAATGTAATGTATTGTAATGTAATTATGTATGTATGTATGTATGTATGTATGTATGTATGTATGTATGTATGTAATGTAATGTACTACATATAATATATTGTAATGTATGTGTGTATGTGGTAAGAATCTCCGAGCCGCACAAAAACATCCTAAGGGCAGGTTCTGAAGGGTCATCCTGTTACTTCCCCTCGTTTGAGGCCCTAAACCTTTTGGGGGAATGTGTGTTGAGTGCAGCCGACACGCACATGCGAATGCATTTGGCTCAAGACCTTGATAACAGAATCGAGGCAAACATCCAAACACAGCTGTGAAGCAAAGCAAAAGGGTTCGTATTCCGCGGTCGCATCGAGTCGTGAGACAACGCAGACCATTTACCTTACAACTCCCTTTTACCACGACCACTACTATACGACTTACTGTCGAGGGTATTGGTGACCCCACGGGAGTCGAACCTCAACTGCCCTGTCAATTGACTGCGTGGTTGATCCGCCTCCTGGCAAGTTATCAGCCGTAAGTTCCAAATTGGTCCCTGCGGTGGATTGCAACTGAGGTACAACACAACCTTTTGGAATATTTTACAGCCGTACAATGGATTCTTCCGGAAGCCCAGGAACTGCAACATTCGGAAATGACAGTTCCAGTGGTTCCACAGGTATGCTTGCAGCGCCGGCGATTGCGGACTCTCCGGATACCCAACCAGGAACTGGAACGGAGAGCAGGCGTACAAGTAGCCCACATCCTCAAAGGATCCGACGAACAACTTCAAGAAGCTGCTCAACACATCGACATTCAACGTGGGAAGACAAAGCAATCCGAAGATCAGGCGCAACACCTCGTGAAGATCTACGGAGAGTATCAGGAAGAAGCCCGACAGGTCATCGAGTACGAAAAGCGACATCAGGAGATGGCCACAACTGTGAATCTGCTTGAACATCGAGTCAGGTGCGAGCAGGAAAGCTCCTTGGTCAGCAGGCAGAAGGCTGAACAAGAAAGGAGAAGCACTTCCTCCGAGATCGCCCAGTGGCAATCGATGATCAATTCATACCAGGTGAAGATCGCGACAGATTCGCAGAATGAGGAGAATACTATTCGTGGTTTGCGTGAGAGATTGGAGACAGCATTGCTGCCGCAACCGTCCATGGCAATCGATGACGAGCCACAAAATATTTTGGTGAGCAAAACGAATGGTGCTATCAGGTGCGCTGAACAAGAAGCCCATTGCGCACGGGTTGCCGTGAGCGAACGGGACGAGATGTACTTGACCGGACAACGTGCAGTACAGGAACGTGACGCAAAGATGAATGAGGAGATCAAAGTTGCTAGAGATCGAGCTCATCAAGGAAACGCATTACATGATCGCGACGCTGAGAGATCAGGAGTTTGTCGACGTGACTCGCGAACTCGCTGCATCAAGACAAAAGGCTATTGATGCGAAATCCGATTACCTCAGCCAGATCGCTGCACTGTCCAAAGAAATCAAGGAGACGCGAAGGGAGCTCAAGACCCAAGAGAGCTTTGTGTACCAATTGGCGGAGACGAACAAAGAGCTCGAGAGCGAGAATGCCACCCAAGTCACCCTTGTGGCGGACGCAAAAGATCGTGGACGAGCTCTACTGAGGGATGACTCCGCTAGGAGCGGTAAACGCCACAATTCGAAGACCCGCAAGAGCGACCACATAAATGGCCTTCAACAACAAGGTCAGGTAATGCTCTATCGGGCCACTATGGCGGCATCTAGTTCTAGTGTACAGGCGCCCAATGTTCTTAAGCCATTTGACTCAGGCTCATATCGACCAACTCCATGAAGCG